AAATCATTTTACGCAGTTTAACCCCTGACATTTTAATTCCTTTTGAGTTCACGCGTATTGGGCGTGTTTGTCGGCCGGAAAATCCTAATTCAAATGGTTCCTCACTGTCTATTTTTATTATTTCTGGTTTATTTGTCACATTATAAGCAATACATTAGTTTTTTTTTAACTTCTAGTGTTGCATATTGTTCATTTATTTCTGTTGCATGTTTTCATTTACCGTTCTATTCCCTGCCACAGTTTGATCTGCGTGTTGTCAATTTTTGCGAATTTTTGTTTTTTTTGCCGAGGATCTCCTGGCAAACGCCCACCCCTTCTTTTTGGCAAATTTCCATGTTCAGGACCCTGGGCTTATACCCGGATAAATACGGCATACCCTTCCCCAGCCTTGTATTATTCCATAACACTTAACTGATAAAATACCATTAAACATCACATCCTGATTACAAACCGCATCCCTAATTAAGAGTTCTGACTAACAGTGTGTATGACAACAATTTAAAAATCACAAACGTTTTCGTTACAATCTGTACCCATAGTTCATCAGACTCATTGTGACTCAAGAGCATGGTTTTAGATGCTGAATAAATGCATTTTCTTTTGTTTTGGTAATCAGTCATAAAGCATTCTCCTTTTACTTCACATTGATCGCATAGGCTTTAAAAAGTGTCTTACAAGTCTAGTAGTCAAACAAGTCTAATTTTCTAGTAGTGCATTTGCGTCTCTGCCTGAAGGTGCCCTGAGTCGCCTCAAGCCTTCCCAGTTTCCATTCGACTGCTATCCCAACTCAGGGTAGTTTTTACTCGCCCTGCTTGCAGTGCCGGAGAAGCTGTTGGCGGTGAATGAGACTTGAATCTTCTCCAGGCAACGTGTGAGACTTACAACTCAACACGATTTGGTGTAATTTTTTATACAGTGAATGTGTTCTTGTAAGTGCTTTCTCTTGAGCAATTCCCAATCCCTCCATTTTGTTTTATTTCTTTTGCCATATAGTAGGACAAGTTCTAATTAGGTACATTTAGAGGTGCTTCCAATAAGTTCTACACATAATGATCATCATAGTCAAATCATGCACTGGTTTGTTGAAGAGTATGTTGCTTTGATCCTAACATGTATCCAACACAAATTAATTCACACTTTGCTCATGTATGTACATGTATGTTCATAGAAAATGTCTTCCCTTTATTCATGCAAGCTGTTTTATTATTGTTTTATGTCAGTGCATTAGAGCGTTTACAGAGATTTGCCATGAGACTTATTCTTGGAATTCTACCACCTCTTTCCACTTAAATTAAAATTTTGTTTAAATCATTCAAACCATAAAGTTCGTGCAAATGACAATTGTTTTTTTATGATTTTGTCAGAAAATGTAATTTTAAACGATAATATTACCATAGTTGTCCGGGTAAGCACCCAGGGTCCTGAACATGAAAAATTGCCAGTAAGTAGGGATGCCAGGACATCACCTGCAATAAAAAAAAAAATTTACGAGACGCAGATCGAACTGCTGTAGGGAATAGAATGGCAAATGAAAACATGCAATGGAAATAAATGAACAATATGCATTGATAGAAGTATACCAAAAATAATTTATTGCTTATGAAGTGACAAACGAACCAGAAATAATAAAAATAGACAATGGGGAATCATTTGAACAGGCGTGAACACAAAATGAACTAAAATTTCAGGGTTCAACTGCATAAAATTATTCCCAGTTTTGACAATTACCAGATCAACAGTCATACACAAACAATAATAATTTTTGAATTTACACAGTAAAAATTAAGAAAGTTCATAATATTGTTTGAAAAAACTTTTCAGATCAAACCCCTCAAAGTCCAAATCGGCATCACCATCATTTGAACAGGCGTGAACACAAAATGAACTAAGCTTTCTGTCAGCTTAGCATGGTTAATCACAATAAAGAGACAAGAAAAATGGGGTTGTGTGCAAACGGCTCTGCTCTATCGTCTTTGACCTTTAAGCATCTGCTATACTGATTGGCTAAGAATGACATCATTACTAGTGTTTAGTCATAAGGTCAAGCTATCGGCCTGACATTGCAAAATTGCTGGCCCCAGTTAAGAATTCGCAAGCTGCTATACAAATATTTTATATAGCCAAAACAACATGCTTTCAACCATTTCTCCAGGTACGGGTTGCTACAAATTACAACGTTGGTTTTATTGTCGATGATGCTAGTGCCAAACAAATGTGCGACACTTGCTTCGCGACTCTCGATAAGATTTGCTGGAAAAAATGATTTTTTTTATTACAAAAGTACAAAAGACCCCCTGGGCATGGGCACTTACCCGGACAACTACAGTATAGTCAAACAAATCTGTTTTAGTCATGCATCTGTTGTTTTTTTTGATGTCATGTAATACTTTCCTTACATTTTCCTTCCTAAAATAAGACATTTTTTAATTTTTAGCTCCGCTCTTGATTTTTGGTAAACAGTGATATTTTGGACTTTTTGTTAAAAACCACAAGTCTGATTACTACAGATGGTTTTCTCTCAAATTTGTTCATTTCATGATGATCTCTTCAATTTTCCAATTTTGATGAATATTTTTGGTGAAAAGTGTTATTTTCGACTTGTTGAAAACAGCAAGTCTTATTGCTTTGATACTATATATATCCTTACTACATGTACATGTGGACCTCTCAGATTTGTTCATTTTGTGATGATATCTTCAATTCTCTAATTTTGATGAATATTTTTGACATTTTTGGTGAAAATTGCTTTAATACTATACATATTGTTCATTTTCTAATGATATCTTCAGTTCTTTAATTGAAATGTCCATTGCTAACAGCGAAGCTATCTCAGCTGACAGGTTGCTTGTTTTAAATTCAAATAAAGATTAAATAAAATAAAATAAAATGTTCATACACCAACAAAACCTCAATCCCAATTGAAAGGCATGACCAGTATTTCAGCCATTTTTGAAAACTATTTTTTGAGATAAAAAAACTGTCATTTTAAACCCTCAATGGAATGGACTCAAAGTAGAAATATATCACAGGTATATATGATCCTTAAAGGTTGTTTTTTTTTATCCTGTTTCATCCAAATTGTATGAGCTTTGTAACGGATAGACATTTTAATCTTCGAATGACGACACAATTCACATCATAGTTGCCCAAAGCTATTTTTTGTATCTGAGGAAGACTTCTCGTTAATCTCCAAAACAGATCAATTATTCATCTGTACATATATATTTTAGTTTGACCCCGAAAATCAATTGCAGTGCGAGTATTCTGACGTATAACAACATTCTTCCAAAGAATATGTGCTGAAACACCACTGCTACATATATTTTTGTTATGAAAGAGGCATTGATTTACGGTGGAATACTTTATTTTCCTGGAATTAATTTTGGCTGAAAAGGCTTTTTGAGCGTTTTGTATGGAATTTATTTTCACTCATTTTTGATAAGTTTAATGTGAAATATAGGAAAAAAAGTATATTCGCTGGATTTTATTCACACAGAATCATCCCTTCAGCGAAAATAAATTCCAAGCGAAAATAAAGTATTCTACAGCAAGCATAATATGTATCCTATATGTAGCCCTATGCTTAAATATTTTCTGGGTTTTATTTTTTTTGCCGATAGCTAAATGCAGGGCTTTTTCTCGAAAGAAAATGTTAGGAGGGAGCACACCTTTGTTACCATTGGTAACTGATCATAGACCACTTGCTCGAAAGTTGAAGATAGGGCGTTTTGCATGCACACGCATGTTGTTTTGGGGTGTAATGTAAACTTGCACATTTGATATTATGTTTCTGGGTATACCAATCGATGTAACAAAACTGAAATTCCCTTCTATGGACTATCAGCAACTGACTTGTGTGTATTCAGTGTAGGAAATTTGTCCAGATTACATACCAGACATCAGGCTGGT